TTGTATTCATGCACTATATATGAACACAATGATATAAAAACACACTCTGCAAATGTAGCGCAAAAACGATAGCCAAATATTCCAGTGGAATACTTCAGGTATGCAATTTATTGGATTATTTATGTCTGTCTTGAAGCTACATTGCATTTACAGAATTTGTTGCAATTTGTCCCATTATCACACTCTTCTTTTGAATTTAGTTTTGTCACCGTATTGTAATAATTGTCGTCAAAGTCAATTTTACCATTTCCACATGTTGCCAACTTGCATTTTGAATTCATGGTGGTGATGTATCCGGAATCAACATTACAATGACAATTGTCTTGACAACCTTCTGTACCTAATATACATTCATCACCAAACCCAATACCTCCATTTATACATTCTACAGAGACACAAAAGTGGTTTTTTAAAGCATATCCTTCTTGGCATTTACAGTATTGATCACACCCACTTTCTCCAAAGTAACACAAATCGTTGTAATCATTAACTTGCCATTTATCGTTGTAATAACATAACAAATGACAATCATCACCACCGTATCCAGGGTTACATACACACTTACCTTCACTTGCATAACAATACCCATTTCCCAAATCTTCATGACAGTGGTTCGGACAAACAACACTAATTTCCATCTCACTGTCCGTTTGGTGATCATCAGAAAGTATTGCAAATTCACGAACACCGGGACGGTCATCACCTTTGATTCGGACTAAAATTCCATTTTGAATTTCGTCAGCAAACATACCAACAGGCACTCCTCCCCATATCTCCGCACATGAATAAACGAACTTCCCATCAACTTTATTTGATATCATTTCAACCATATTAGTCACTCGATTTTGCTTTTTAGTACTCACCAAAACAGAGTATGTCGAGTTCAGAGTCAATGTGAAAAAGACTGCCTTCATATATAAATAGGGGGTGCATGGTGTTACCACATAATTACCAAGTGTTTCTACAGGAACTGTCTTAACGTATTTTCGAGACAAATCTTCTGCTAAATAGTCCAAATCACTTTGTGAAAATTCATAGGTATATGGCCATAGATGGAGGTCTTTTTGCCAGAATTTGATAGTCACATTTACCGTTTGGAATCCTCTCACTGATACAAAAAAGTAAACATCAAAAGGTATTACATTTTCAGTATCATCAGGGAAAGGAGAAATTTTGGGGAACTGACCAGAAACTTCAAATTGAGATGTGTTCAGCCAGTAATGTACTCTACACTGATAATTGGTGAAGTTTCTTTGCGAGTAGGTGCCATCAAAAAAGACGTCCACTCTGTCTTGTTCTGGTTTTGTAATTGTGAAAAAAAAGTTTTTAGTCGAAAAATCTGTAGATTTTATTTTTATCCATTTCCCAAAGCGGTAATTGTCCTTTTGAAAACAAGGTCCTTTATCAACTGAAGAGTTTGGACTGATTTCAAAGTTAAACTCTGTATCAATTGGTACATATTCTATATTATCTTCGTCTGGTAACCAAGCTTTTTTTAAAATAACAGTGTCTACTTCTTTGCAATATTCACCGTCT